TGAAACCAATTGATAAAGTTATGATCTAATGTGCATTTAAGTGACATAGGACTAGCTTCGATCAGGGAAGATAAATCAATTAAAGTAATAGAATTAGAAGTTGTGCCGGAATAGAACATGTTAGAACATTGGACGTCGGAACGGAGAAAGGTCGATGTGCCAACAGAAGGCTTCGTGCCATAAATTTGGGCATTGGGCCAGAAGGATCGGATATTGCGCTAAGGAGATTAGGTGTTGCGGAGGTCAACATACCGATTGGGCAATACACCATAAGAGAGGATGATGCACCGAAGGTTCGGACGATGCGCCGGATAAACCAATGACATGCTAGATAACTTAGTATTCTTGCTTGTAATAATATGTCAAGATCGATGTATTTTAGAGGGCTAATTGAGTTGGTTTTGAGTATAACAATGCCAACTCAATTAGGGGTCAATTGGGCCCAAAATGGGACTATTTTAGGCCAAGAGAAGGCCCATTCAGTGACCCGAAGCCACATCAAGCGATGGCACCCTCGGAACTAGTGGTGAGATTGCCCAGTGTCAGACTGGTAGGCGATGGTACCGCCCAGTGTTAGTGTGTTAGGCAGTGGTACCACCCAGTGTCAGACGGGTAGGCGGTGGTACCGCTAGTACCCCCGAAGACCGGGATGAGACCCTTTTAAGTTCCAAATTTGAATTCATTTAAGGCCTATAAAAACCCCACTCATCGCTACTCGGTAAACACATCAACTGAGAGCAAAAAGGAAGGAAAACACTGTTGTAATATTGTGAGAACTCCTCTCAATCTCTAAGTGTTAGGTGAAGTTTAAGAGAGGGGTGAGTGGTTGTAAAGATTATCTTCTAGACTTGTGAAAAGGAGAAAAGGGGTGCAAAAGGGTAATTGATCTTCGCTCATTGAAAAAAGATCGGTAGTGAAAGTCGATAGCCTCAAGTAAAAAGGAATCGGGAGTGGATATAGGTTATGATGACTAAACCACTAAAAATCTTGTTTGCATTTACTTTAAGCTCTTCATTTTCATTACAAACTGATTTTTTACTTTCACTACGCTTACGAACGTGTTTTCAAGTTAAACTTTTTTCCGATATCGGTTTTCATTGAACGAGAATTTTCAAACCGTCATTTTTACAAAAGCACTAATTCACCCCTCCCCCTCTTAGTATCATCATGGTTCTAACATTGTCATCATAGAGGAGCGCTTCGAGACATGTCGATCTCACTGTCATCATAGAGAGGCACTTCAAATCATGTCAACCGTGTTATCATCATAAGGGGCTCTTCGAACCATGTTAATTGCACCGTCTCCTTATAGGAGCACTTCGGGTTGTATTAGATATGCTATCGTCATAGAGGAGCGCTTCCGGTCATGTTGGTCATATTATCATCGCAGTGGAGTGCTTTGTGTCATGTCGGATGCGTTGTTATCATAGAGGAGTGCTTCGAACCGTGTCGACTATACTATTATCATAAAGGAGCATTTTGGGTCATGTTGACCACCCTATGATGGTAAAAGTGTTGCTCGAGTCATGTCAATGGGCTAACGCTCTTGCGAAATGACGCTTTCCTTCTAATAGTAAAATGATGATGAAAGATGTCAGTGACATCTCTATTAGCCCACAATTAAGGCCCATGTGAGCAAGAGGTCAAGTGGGCTTCTCCAATGTGCACTCCAAAATTGATCCATATAAAAACCAATGATTTCTTGATACGATCTCTTTGATGATTAAATTAGTTACTAATATTGGGTGAAGTAATCTTGATGAATAGTCACTAACCTTGATTTCTATAATAGATTTAACTTGGGCTGAGTCACCGCATGAGGTGCCCATATCCATATCCATATTAGAGCAAATATTTCACTTATCACTAATGAAATCAGAACGGACGAAATGTCCTGCTTCAATCTTTTTAAGTGACAAAGTTGAAAATAGTTGTGAAAGTTAATCCAATAATGTTGGAACAGATTACTCCTATGCGACCATAACCTTCTCATGTTTCTACATCGTACTGAATCATTAAACTTACTTCAATTACCTGTTTTTTCTTTTTCCTTATTTTTGATAGATGTTTATGAGGACGTCTGCATCATCCATCGTGACTGTGTTGTGGGCAGTGACATTTACTTGGGGACATAGTGGGGTTTGAGGTTCCTATTTCGAAACAGTAGATGTATAAATTCATGTTCTTGTCATGTGGTCACCAGCAATGTCTGGTGTGCCATCACAGTTCACTTAGGCTCAATGGTAACTCCATCAGCAAGTTAATATCCTGCCACCAACAAATGCAAGGCGGTCCGGACCACTCAGATTCTTAAAACATTAAGAACAGATGGAAAAGAAAATTGCTATGTTGGTATTTCTGAAACTAAAACAATGAGAGAAATGAGAGCTGATGAACAAACTATCCTGCATTAGAGGTCTAGTTCATATATGGGCTTAGACAAATTAGACCGTTTGAACTCAAATCAAAGAAATTAAAGAAATAGAGAGAGAAAGGATAAAATGTGAGGAAGAGAAAAAAATAGATCGTGTAGCGTGCGGCGGTGTGCAAAGAAAAAAAGGAGAGAGAAAGATTAGGTTTCTGAGTTTTCTGCTTGACGATCGGTGGCCAAACGTTATCAGTTTTGGCTCGAAGAATCCTTGTAGTAAACTCTACAATCCTAACGATGTTGATCTGCAGTTTACCTCTCTAAGATACTTTCCTGCTATATCCACTTTGTGAGATCTAGAATTCTCTTTTGAGGATATCCTATATGATGATATGCTAGAACCAAGATTCATGTTCTTGATGTTATTCTGATCCTCTAGTTATTTTAGAGAAGATCTACTGTAAACCTGTTATCATTATTATTGATAGTGGAAGTTTGAGGTAGACTATGATCTCGTGGTTTTTCCCACATTGAGTTTTCCACGTTAAAAGATTTAGTCTCACTGTGTGATTGAAGTTTTGCTCTATTATTTATGTTATGCTGGTTGATATTTTCATTTGGATATCAAGTTAGTATTTTGATGAGAAACCCATTTTGATACACAAAGAGGGAAAAAAATATTTCGCTTTAATAGGTTTTCGTAATGGACTTCAAACAAGAAAAGACGAAACCAAAGATGTATTGCTTTACGGATTCATGTTTTACATGTTACCGAAATCCAAGTTTTGCAGCCATGAATCCATGTGCTGTCATCGATGGATGCAAGTGTATTTTGTGTGTGGAAATAGCTGGCAAGAGAGGAAGCTGGACCAACAACACATTGCAGGTGATGTTAGGTTACTGTCTCCCATATTTCTTCATGGTAGGTTCCTGGAGACCTTCTTGCGGACCCAAAGCGTTTCCCTTTTCCATTTGCAAACCTGAAAAGAGAATCAGATCTGCCAGAAACCAGATTTGTTCAGGTGACAAACATCAGACACCTGAAGAAATCATGAACATTGCAACTATCTTAGGACACAGAGAATAGTGGTGTTGACGACTGGCTGATTCAACATGCTCTCCACCAACAAAAGTGGGAGATTGATTATTTATACCCATTTAAAGCTTCATTACTGACTACATGTTCTGATACATCTGGAGATGTTAATATTTTTTTTTGGAGAAGACTTCCATCCCCACAACTTGGAGACTCATTGGATAACAGGTTAATCATTTAGAACAATTTAAAGAACAGATTCTTTCCATCAAAAGCATGATACAGTTATTGGAAACTTTCTGAAGATTGTGTTGGAATTAAACTTAAGTTCAAGTGTATTCATTTCATCAAAAGAAAAATTCATTGCATCAAATCTAGAAGAAAAAATAAATTAAATTGATTATTGGTTCTTGAAATGATTTCTTGAAAAAGAATGATTCATCTTTTAAATATAATTAATATAATATATTTTTAGAAACTATATAAACCTCATATGTTGGATCATAAAACAGAGTTTCTGAAATTGTAAAGAGTTTTTCTTAAGAGAAATATAGAAGATTAAAGTTTGTCCTACTCTTTCTCTGTCTAATAACTCTATCCCTTCTTCCTATCGAGATCAACAGATTGAATGTGAGAAGATGTGTTGCATTGCAATGGTCACAAGGTATTTCTACTTCTTCATATATTGGGATTGAGAGTACCAATCACTTCTCCCTCGAAGATTTCTGGTTCTGTAGCTGCTTCAATCTTCTCCCAAGGATGGATGAACAGATAACAAATATACTGACTGAAGCATGTTGCTTTTTCTTAATGCTCTCTCCTTGTCCATCTTTGCTGCTGCTACATTCTTGCACATATAAACTATTACTTCTGTAATGCTAGATTGTCATGCATTCCACCAAAAAGGACAATCTTCATCACATCATCTGCTTATACTTTTCGTCTAAATGCTGTCTTTGAACTGCTCAAATCCATAGAATGGACTAAAAGCTGGTTGACTAAGATGATGAATACTTTGTGATGATAATAGTAATTATGATAAGACTCGACTGACGTCAGATGACGTCTCACGCAACAACACCTGATCAATGCAGATCGGAACGTCGACCGAGACATATTAACATCCTGCTAAAGCTCAATTCTTCACGTCACGTCAACACAAAATCAGACGCTACCAGCTTGCTCCCTGCAAGCGGGCAGCTCAGGAAGCAGTATGCTTCCCTATAAATATCCTCTCGTTCATTAGAAAAGAGAGGGAGACAGACACACAAAAACACTTCTTCATCTGAAACCCCCTCCACATCTGCTAACTTGATCGTCGGAGGGGTCGGGCCGAGCGCCTCGGCCCGACCTTTGTGTAGGTGCGAAGCCGAAGGTCCCCTCCGGACGCGCAGGCGAGGAGTTCCTGCCCGGAGGAGACGGCTACACCGTCTCGATCGGACACCGCACTCGACCGCCTCAGCAGCCTCGAGGAACGTCCCAGGGAGATCCTCGTCATCCGGATTCGAACCGAGCCGCGTCGGCCCCGAGACCACGGCTCAAAGTTGTTTCCCACAACACTTTGTCAAAAAGCATGCTTCATTTGTCAGTTAAAACCTTTGTCATGGAGTCTAGTTGTGCCCTCGGACCAGTAGATCTTTATAGTCTGAACCCAGTTCATTTGTAATGAAGAAAACGAAGATTCTAGCACCTGGCAGAACTCTACGGAAGAAAGAACCATGACCAAGAACAAAATAGGTAATCCATCATCTTACATGCAGATGGCAATGGACAGTTGTCATGGAAAGACTGCAACAATGGCAGCACACCAACATCAGGTCAGAGGCTCGTAGATTGAGATTTGGTGCCAACTTCATGACTCATAGCGGCGACCAGCTTCTCCTTTGTCAACTGCTCGGCACCAGGCGATCTGACGACGAACGTGTGCGTCACCTTGTCATCACTCACGACGACCTTCGAATCCACCACGTCGATTTGTGAGTCCCCGAAAGCTTGGATGACTCCTGCGATGGGATGCGTGGCCAATGGGCAGCTCACTCGGACGAGTAGCTCATCGTGGAGTGAGTCCACATCGATCTGGGGGGGATGCGTGCGGCTGTTCTGTTCCATGGATGCCGGTTCACCCAGCATCTCCCTCTCCGCCTCCATCTCCTTGAGCTTCCTCTGCAGCTCAGTGATGTACGATATGGCGTCGCCGAGCAAGGATGCCTTGTCCATCTTCGAGATGTTGGGCACCACGGATCTTAGTGCGTAGAACCGCTGGTTGAGCTTCTCCCTCCTTTGCCGCTCGGCCTCCACATGGTTGAGGGGCTCCTCTCTCCCGTTTGCGGGCTTGCGGCCCCTCTTTCTCGGCCTCCTCTCCTCCGTCGTGCCCGGCTTCTCTCCGTTGCGCGACGCCTCGGCATCTGAGAGCACAAATTCTAGCGATTCCAAGCGACCTATCGGCATTGCTCGGGAGCTAGTACTGCTGCCACCGAAGTCGATCTGCTTCGGCTGTGCACGCGGTCGCGGCTGCTGTTGCTGGTGTTGGTGCTGCTTCTGAGACTGGAATTGGCTCATCACGGTTTCCTCCATGACGACGCCATTGCCGCGATGCGGATACGCCCTGTGAACCGGCGTCGCTTCCTCTAGGTTGTGGTTTAGATTCCAACCGAGCAGGTTGGCGCCGGCCCCGAGCGGCGTCTCGTGGTGATGTTCGGCAATGGAAGTAGGGACCTTCATGTTCATCTGTGCCGGCGCGGCGTTCAAATCCTTCCCGAAGATCTTTGTGTGATCCCAGGCGTCGCCGCCGAACCAAAAACACGATGTCGAACACGCAGTGGCGCCGCCGCTTTCCATGTCGCATGCCGTTGCTGCTGTCCCTTTGCTCAGGCCGTGGACGAACACGGCCTTGATCCTCTGCAGTTCATCTGGGCTTTCCGAAACGGAATCCATGGAGGCCAGCTCGAGCACGCCGGTGTCGAACGGTACGAGCACGACGGTCCGGAAGCCGGCGGTCCTGGCGAGAGAGGCCCGGACAAAGTAATCGGCGCCCGCGAACGCTGACTCCGGGATCCAGAGGTGCTTCTGGGAGAGAAGAGACCTCCCCGGCGCGCCCTCGCCGGGGGCGAACGAGAAGTACATGGACGCCAGGAAGTACATCTCGGGGTCGGCCACCTGGTCGAGGCGGAGCGCGTAGTTCTCGTCGTCGGAGCCACCGGAGAGCACGTGGAGCCTCTCGAGCACACGCTTCCGCATCCGCTGGAGGGTGGTTCTGCCGCGGGGGTCGTCGTCGTCGGCGCGGCCGCCGAGCTCGCGGCAGTGGCCGTCACCCCATCCGAGGACGAACTCGCCGAACCGGGACCGGGAGATCTGCCAGAAGACGGCGCAGGCCCACGGCGAGCCACGGGCCTCGACGAGGTTCTGGAGCTTGATCTGGAGGTCGGGGACGCCGCTGCCGACGGTGGCGAGCTGGTCGGAGGACGAGGCATGGCTGGCTGCGAGGAGGTAGTCGAGGGCCCGACCACCGAGGACTTCCACCGCCATCGCCCGGTCCTCTTCGGACCACGGTGAGCCCATCCCCGTCTTCCACCTCATCGACTTCTGCAGCAAGGCAAAACAAGATGAGAACTCGATTCAACTGAACAAGCCGAAAGGCTTTGCCCATCTCTAATAGGAGACAAGGAGGCGCATGGAAAACGAGGATCATACGGAGGCACACTTGCGGCGAAACCTATGCGAAATGGCGCCCGGGAAGGATGAAGATAACGGAGAAGCGAGTGGGCGACTAGACGGCCGTATATAAACGTGCGGGCGGAACACGATGGCGATTCGTATACAAAACATCTTGTCAATAGTATCGTGAAATTCCATAGCCACAGCCGTTGGTTGGCGGAACTCGACGACCCATCGACAACGCATCCGACCGTCCATTCCACTCTGGGGCATCCAGCTGTTGGAAAGAGGTCCTAATCCGTCACGAGCCGGGGACGTGGATGGATGCGGAGCAAACTTTTCGTGCCCAACAGTGGTCGTACCCCTGTGGGGCCCAGAGGCGGGTAGGACCCAGCATGCGATTTGATGCGGGAGGAGGAGGAGGTGGTTGCGAATGTTAGGTGCGTGTGCGTGTGCGTGTGCTGAAGCTTTCTCCTTACCTATTTAGGTTGGTTTATAAGTGTATTGACAGTCAATCGATTCACTAACTGATGATATACATATATAATTGAACTCCTTTATATTCTGATATTATATATAGAACACTTACATATTCTGATATTAAGCCATTCATGCTCCTAACCTTCATGTTATAAGATAATTGACCTATTTTTCTTAGAGAGAGAGAGAGAGAGAGAGAGAGAGGAATATTCTGTCCCCATCCATTCCTTTTGATGAGTCTTATTGGAGATGCTTCATGTGAAACAGCTGCATTTGGTGAGCTCAAGTGTTGTTAACCTCATACGGCTTTTTCGGGTGGAGATAATTGACATAATAGGGAAAGTAGCTTATGCATGTGAACATTATGCTTCTCGTTTTATTTACCTCCATGTCATACCATGGAAGATTTGATTCCTTGCGTGGTTGGCAATTTGTTGGATAGACTTCCTTCCTCACTTTCCTAATCAATGTCAATGCCTTTAGATTGAGGTAGACACCAATTGATGAGGACTAACCCAATTCTTCACAACTATATGCCTTGAATCAACGTTTTAAACATAATCATTTCATCAGGGGGCACAAAATGGGTCAAGTTCCTACAACTTAAATTGGATACATTTTATTTATAATTTTAATATAAAATAAATAATTTTATTACATATGATTATTATTAGAGTAGAAGTTAACCATTATTCATCATGTGAATGCAGCCAATGCCCTTCTACCTATGTGGATAGGAGTCCAAAAGTTAACTCGGGTCAGTTATTGAGTTGTCGAGTTACCCACCTCCCATACGAACAGTTCGAATCAATTATCGAGTTGCCTTCTTTACAGAATATTCACATGAATATTATCGATTATAAATTGACTCCCCTACAGAATATTCGTAGAAATATTTCTCTATGGAATATTTGTAGAAATTTTTTGAAAGTTTAGGGGCAGTTTAGGTCGATTATGAATTGCTTGCCCCGTAGAATCTTTATTAGATTTTTTCTCCACAAAATTAATATAAAATCACACCCTTAACTCTAGATTAGGAGAAGGAGAAGAAAATGAGGACTCAGTACTAACTTAAACGTCGAAGGGATCGACTCAAGAATCTACCCTTGTCTTGGTTTTTGTATAGGTAACTAGTCAAGAAGGATATAAAAAAGATATATATAACACCACTTGCAAATCAAACCCACGACCATGTGATGCTAATCGTGGAAGGTAGTTTTTCACTCTCCAATGATGAAGCCACCCTTCACAATCGAATTAATATGTACCCTTAGGATTACTCTAATAAGATACATGTCAAGAAAACCCAACCCATGTAAAAAGAAACCTATTACGATGAAAGATTGGGTTAGAGAGGTGCCCAAGATGCTTGAGTTAAGAAAACTTGACCCACGTAAAGAGAAACCTGCTATGGCAAAAGATCAGGCTATAGAGGCACCAAAGATGTATAAGTTGGGGAAAACCCAACTTACATAAAAAGAAACCTACTATGGTGAAATATTGGGCCAAAAAAATGCCCAAGTCCCGTGAGTCAGGAAAACCCAACCCGCGTAAATAAAAAAACTCACTACGAAAGATTGAGCTAAAGAGACGCCTAAGACACATGAGTCAAGAAAATCCGACCAACACAAAGAGAAACCTCTTATGGCAGAAGATCGGGTTGAAGAGGCACCCAAGACGTGTGAGTCGAGAAAACTCAACCTGTGTAAAAAGAAACTCGCTATGGTAGAAGATCGGGCCAAAGAGGTTCTTGAGATACATGAGTCGAGGAAAATCTGACTCACGCCAAGTAAAACCCACTATCGAGAAAGCACAACGCAAAGTACATCTAAGATGCTAAAAAAAAAAATGACGACATACTTTCAACCCCAAATAACCCTAAGCACATCATTAAGGGGAGCAAATGATAGAGAATATAAAATTAGCTAGTCATTATTTACTATGTAAACACCACATAAGACTAACATCCTCCTATTCACGTAGATAGGAGTTCAAAAGGTAGCTTAGGTTAGTTATTGAGTTACCGAGCTACCTCCCATATGAACAATTTAGATTAGTTACCGAGTTGCTAAGTTGCCTCCCTTGCAGAATAGTTATAGGAATATTTTCAAAAGTCCAAAGGGGCAGCTCGAGTCAGTTATAAACTAACTCCCCTATGAAATATTTGCAGGAATATTTTCGAAAGTCCAAGGGTAGATTTTTATGGGATATTTCTTCTCCTCAATGTTACAAAAATACACACTTAACTCTAAATTAGGAGGGGGAGAAGAAAAGGAGGACTTTGGTATTAGCTTAAGCATAGGAGAGACTAGCTCATGAAGCCATCCTCGATATTAGTTTTTATACAGATAATGACTCTAAAGAGGTCACACTATACTCTAAACGACTCCTTGTATATGTGTTGATGAAGATGTTAATAATATTTTTTTTCTAACAAATCTTAATTATTAATTTTGGTGCGTTCTCTACGAGTCATCTAATAGTTCAAAATTTAAATAGATATGATTGCATAGAGAAGCCTCGTATTGAACCAGCCTTCACATTACTATATCAATATATATATATATACACACACACCAATAAGATCCCTTCGATACTTAATTAGCTTACACAATATACAATGAAGTTTAAAAAATAGAGTGAAAAAAGAAGAAAAAGATGTATTGTCATATGAAAGTTTTTAGTTTATAGATCCAGTTCCTATCTGTTAATAGTTAGGAAAATATTCTCCAAATCAAGAAATGATTTGAAAAATATGCTAGTGTCATGAAGCATGACTATTCTGGTTGGCTCATCTTGTCATTTTCTAATATGTTAGCATCTAACGCGAATATTACTGTTAGCAACATTGATGTTCTAATAATTAGATGCGGATTGGTAGACCATGTCGCATGAAATTACTGGACTTGGAGTAAAAAGTTTCGAGCTATTGTCGCAGTTGACACTATAAATACAGCTCTGTGACCACACCATTTCGTCACCTCACGAGTGCCCAAAACAGTGGAACTCGACGGAGGACGGCAAGCAGCAGGCAAAGATCAAACTGGCCAGCTAATCTGACATGAGTTGCAGGTGCAGAGGGACTGCAAAGTCAAAGATTCTGCTGCATCATGAGGAGGTCAGCATCTCCTGGCCTGGTATTCTCCTTGCTATATTTGGCACTGATTGAGATGTGATTCATGAATCCGGCAGACTTTGTGTAGGCCATGCATGCATTTTGTTTGTTGCTCTTTGTCTTGTGGGCGCACAGACATTTTTGTCGAACTGCTTTGCACCGCTTGGATAGCGACGAGTTCCTAAATCCAGAAATCTCTTTAGGAGTAAGACGCTGTATGTTTGGGCGACTTTTCGAAAGAAATATATGATATTTTTTTTATACTTCTCCTAAAATACTATAAGTCTTTCAAATAGATATTGCTCTACAAAAAATTATTTCAAATATATATATGTATGTATATATTCTTATTGGTTTAGGAACAATAACAAATAAATAGGGACAATTATAATATTTTAGTAAACACTATAAACCTATTCAAAAACATTATAACTAAGAAATTGGATAAGTTCATACTATGGACTAATCCAAAATTGATGGATTAATATGTTATAGAAAGGATATTTTGAAAATTATGGAAAGGTATAATTGGTGCCCCTTAGACCTTTCCAAACAATTCGCCCAATATATTTATTTCTCTCGTACTTTTTATTTGTTATTGATGAGTGTCGGAAAGAATAGAAGATAAAAATAATTATTGAAGAAGCTTTATTGAAGAAGTTTTATTGAATAAACTTTATTGAAGAAACTTTATTGAAGAAGTTTTAGCTTGAATACATTAACATGTCTCTCTCCTATTTATACAGATTAGGAAAGAGGATTTTCCTCAATAGAATAGAGGATTTTCTTTAACAGAGTAGAGAGATTTCCTGATATAGTTGGGGAAATCTTATCTGCTATCATGCCCTCGCAAGATGGTGCTCTTATCAAGGATACCAATCTTGGATTGATGCAAAGCAAATAGTTTACGAGCCAAAGGGTTCATGAGTAGGGTAAGAGCATATCACTGCTGCTGTTGTTGCTATTGCTACGGCTGCGACGGCAACGACGACGACGGCGGCTGCGATGGCGACGACGACGACGACTACAGCAGAGGAGAAAGCTGCAGCAATGTAGAAAGCTATAGCAATGCTATAGCAAAGGAAGAAGCCATAGTAGAGGAGGAAGCCGCAGCAATGTTGCAGTGATGCTACAACAAAGGAAGCTGTAGCGATGCTATAGTAGAGGAGAAAGCTACAGCAAAGGAGGAAGCTGTAGCAATGTTACAGCGATGCTACAGTAGAGGAGAAAGCTACAGCAAAGGAGGAAGCTACAGTAAAGGTGCAGTAGAGGAAAGCTGTAGAGGAGAAAGCTGCAGTAGAGGAGGAAGCTGTAGTAAAGGAAAAAGTTCCCCCCTTCTTTGCACTGTAGAGGCAAGAGATGTGGTGAATGATAAGCTTCGATGGTCGTGGAGCCTCGCTCGTCTCACCTGCTCTGATACCATGTTGGAAAGAATAGAAAATAAAATGAATTATTGAATAAGTTTTATTAAAGAAACTTTATTG